ACCTTAGGTGTCTTTTGGCCATTTGAACTTCTTCTTTTGAGAATTCTCTGTTCAGTTCAGTGCCCCATTTTTTAATTGGGTTAATTAGCATTTTAAAGTCTAGTTTCTTGAGTTCTCTATATATTTTGGAGATCAGACCTTTGTCTGTTGCGGGGTTGGTGAAGATCTTCTCCCAGTCAATAGGTTGCCCTTTTGTCTTAGTGACAGTGTCCTTTGCTTTACAGAAGCTTCTCAGCTTTAGTAGGTCCCATTTATTCAATGTTGCCCTTAGTGTCTGTGCTGCTGGGGATTACTATAGCTTCTGTGTGATTATTCGGTTATGGGCAACGGGAAACTAATGAACAGTCTTCACTTACATTGTTATGTGGTTTGAATGAGAATGACAATAGGCTCATATCTATGAATGATTAATTCCCAGTTGGTGGAATTCCCCGTGAAGGATTAGAAGGTATGGCCATGTTTGAGGAGGTATGTCACTAGAGGTGGGCTTTGAGGTGTCAAAAGATTCAAGACATTCCCAGTCTCTCTCTTTTTCTCTCTCTTTCTCTATCTCTTTCTAATCTCTCCCTCCATTCTCTCCATTTCCCTCCCTCCTCTTTCTCCTATCTCTCTATCTTTCTTTGTGTTTCTCTGTCTCTGTCTGTGTCTCTCTCTTCCTCTATCTCTCTCTCATACACACATAGACACAAAAACTATTTTGCTTTCTCTCTGTATTGTTCTTGTGTTTCAAAATATGAGCTCTCAGTGATTGTTCCAGTACAATGCCTACCTGACTGCTGCCAAGCCTCCTTAAATGATGATCATAGACTCTAACCATCAAAAATCATAAGCTCCAAGTTAAACAAATTCATTTACAAGTTGTCTTAGTCACACTGTTTTATTTCAATAAAAAATACTCTAAAAGAGTATCCTAGAACAAAATGAAAAAGTTAGAAGTAAGCAACCATTATAAACAAAGCAGAAATTTATTTTTGATTGCAGGTCAAATAAATACTACACAACTTAAGATTTATTCAGAGATATTTCATTGGAAGCAATAAACATAGGTTTCACAGAAACAAATACAGAAAAGCTAATTAACATATAGAAATCACTGTTATTTTAACATAAAAAATTAGTTGTCACCTAATTTTGTATTAAAATTTAACCATTAACTTAATGGTTCTGATGTTAAGTCATTGTAGGAGGAAACTTATAAAATCAGTCTACTACATTAAAGTTCTTAATGATAGCTAGATTCATAAGTTATATTCAGTAAACAGAAAATAATACAGCAATGATTTTAAATGAGTGTAAATAAAACAATTAGATGAAGGCATGAAAAGCCTTGGAGACTCATCTCCTAAGAACACTTACATATTGGATAATATGGATAAGATATCTTACAGTTGAGACACAGAATAAATAAATATCTATTTTTCCAGAGCAATGGACGCAGCAAAGTTCATCCCTGATGAGCCTCAGTCTAGAAGCAGAAGGAAGCAAGATCTCGAGGAGATGCTGATAAAAGTGGGGTTGTCTGTTGACTACTGGCTGCCTAAGCTTCAGAAAGATCTGGGTGTCACCTGTGTCCAGGCCTTACAACACTTAGAAGAAAAAGACCTTCAGAAGCTGAAGTCCCAGATACAACACACATGGGAAGAAAAGGCTCTGGAAAAGCTGCTTGACCTCTCACAGCCAAAGAGTGTTGCAGAGTTGCAGGAGACTCCAGGAGAGATGATAGAGAGCAGACAGCAGCAGGCAGGACAGGCACTGCAGGAACTGAAGGCCTTGCAGTCAGAAGGGAAGCACAGAGAAGAGGAAGAAGTTAAGAAAAAAGAAGCAGAGCTGAGACAAGCAATGGAGATCCCCGAAGAGTGCTGGCCAGGGCCAGAAGTGCCCCTCAAAGATATTGCTGAAACAATGGAGAAACATCTCAGTCACATAAAAGCGGCAATGATAAAAAGTCAAAACTTCTCAGATAGAGACCTGCTAAGATTCACATCTGGTGGGCTGGTGCTGCAGGGAATTTATAAGACCAGCCACCAAAAGGACTTGGCAACAAGGAGAGAAGAACTACTCAGGGTTCCAAAGGAACTGTTCCTCTTTGGGTCTGAGCAAGGAAAACGGATGGAAACAAAAGAATTCACATCTTCAAAAGAAGAATCCCTGTTCACTGAAACTGTGGAGAAGTTCGGTTTCCGGTTAACACTTTTAGCCAAGGCTGGAGGCTGGGGATTTAATTTTGAAGGTGGAATGGATAAAGTCAAGCATATTGAGTCCAAAGAAGTCCACCAATCACATTCTAAGCACACTTATTTCTGCTCATCGAAGTTCAGCTACAACCCACTAGCCTCCTTCCACTTTTGCAAAGATCAGCTCCAACTCTCCACCGCTGCTCTCAAGGAACTGAAAATCATTGAGGAACAACTGGAACACACGGAAGGACCAGACATATTCCTTGTAGTGAGGAAAAGGACTGAAAACTTCTTCAACAGATTTGGCTCTCATGCTAATCAAGGCCCTGTGCACTTTGGGGGAATATTCTACTGGAAGGCCATTTCAGAGGGTTTCGAAAGTGGCCATCTGGATTATGTGAAGCGGCAGGCAGCAGAGGCCTTAGATATTTATGTAAGAGGGAGCTACAGTGGCTTTGGATTTAATGTTGAAGGAGGGATGACGGCATCAGATGCACATTCAGCAAGCTCCTACAAAAATTCAAATAATCAACAGCTCCAAATCAAAGTTCAATTATCTATGGCCCAGATAGGTGGACCACCAGAAGCAAATGGAATTGTTCAGTGGACAACTGGCCTTCTTGCAAGCAACAAAACTTGGTGTGTCATTGACCGAGAACTTCAGCTGGTACCCATTTGGGACATCATCCTATCAAATCACAGAAGCAATTTTAAGGACCCCTTTCTGGTGGCTAACTGCCTGACAGAAAACTATACTGCTCTGACAGGCCTTGCTGCCTACATCCAGCCTGGAGAACATATACCAAGTACAATAAAAGAAGCAGAACTTTTCCTGGATGTTGTGAAATCCTGGGAGGTCTCAGACCCTGAAGAACAGCTTAACTACCTGATGGATTTTATGCAAACACTGGCTCACAAAACAAAAGGATATGATGTTTGGATTAATACATGCCTTACAAATTGTAACCTACAAAATTTTCTTATAAACACTGTCAACTTTTGCAAAAACTCTTCCATTAAAAAAAATAAGTTTATTAAATCTCAATTCCGCAGCCTTCTAGAAGCTCATGTGCACAAAGTGAAAAACTTTCCTCAGGTGAAGTCAATCATGCAGTGGATCAACCAGACAGAGTCAGAGGAACAGCAAGTTAAAATCATTGAATTATCTGAATTCCTTAAAAGTCTAAAAGAAATCCAAAAATCTCTCATGGAAGCAAATGAGAAGTCCGAGTCCCGAGAAACAGTGGAAGCAGCTCAAAGAAAGGCTACCTGTGATGTCACCACAGCTCTTAGCTCCTTCTTGAACTATCTCAGAGAATCAGCGCAGCCAGACATGCAGCTGCTACTGCTCTCCATTGCAGCTGGTGCAGGCTATCAGTTGGAAAGCCATGTTTTCCAGCCTCTCCTGGGGTGTGCTGAGATAAACTTCCTACTGGATGAAATACAAACTGTCCAACACAGATATCAGGAGCTAAAAACTATCTGCACAGACAGGGCACAGGCATTCCTAGTGCTCAAAGCTATGACCACCACAGTAAATGTCTCAGAGATTTCTCCAGAAGAAAAAGCACAACGCTTGACATTAACAAGGCAGCATATGGAGCACTTACTTTCTACTAGAGTTACACATCTCATCACAAAGTTTGGAACAGATCATGATTGGGAGAATCTAGAGAATAATTTGAGATTACTCATTGATGGGAACTATGAAGACACCATCTCTTCTTTGCAAATGGATGAAGTAAAAAAGCAATTGCAAAGTCTCCTGAATAAACAGGAAGAAACTTATGAACAACAAAATGATGATAGCAATGAAAAAGAGGTGATAAAAAAAGGACCTTTTCTAGACTTACTCCAACGTCTGGGTCTAGAACATCACTACCCAAAAAGGATGAGCAGAGCTGACTTCCATCTGATCTATAAGACTTCTGTGTGCAATACACAGCCAAGATCTGAACAGGAACTTCCCTTCTATTTCCTACAAAAGCTACTGATGCTAGATTGTGGGTTCAGACATCTGGTCTTCAAAAATGATGGAAATGCAGACACCCAAGACTCAGTAGTCCCCTCCAACCAGGAAAATGATGTTGTTGATCCATACGAAGAGCTGTTTGATGACAGTGATGAAGTCACTAATTCTTCACCCACTGAGTCCTGGCCCCACATTCACCCAATGGACATCCAGATGGCCATTTTTCACTGTGCAGATGATCTTGCAAGGCAATACATTTTTTCTAAACTTTCCATTTGTCAATTTGCACTCCCCCTTGTGGTGCCAAATCCCAACACTTCTCAGATGGAATTCTCTCTCTGGTCTCTCAGACATATTAGGAAAAGCTGGCAAGAGTCAAGTAAATCACAACCAGACAAGAGCTACCGTCACAGGAATCAGCGGATGTGCTGTGTCTCTACCCCCATTGTGTCCTTCATTAGAGTTGGAAATGACTTGTATGCTTCCAAATCACAGATCATAAACTCTCTCCTCAGTAGACATAAACATGACGTGTTTTTTCACAGGCACTGCAGAGGAAGCAGCAAATATTGTCTCCTGATGGAGGGAGTGGTGGAGATCTCCTGGTTCTGCCCTGGGGGTCAAGGTGAGGACACATTTGACAAGTGTGTGGCCTTCACCAATCTTCATGGAGATGCCAAAGAACATACACAACAACTCAGCTTCCTGCAGGATGTCTCTTCTCTCATTGTGATCCTCATGTCAGCTTCTGATAACAATAAAGAAAACCAAAACTTTGTCAGACACATGTGGCAGTCATCAAAACCTGTGATCTGTCTGATTGATGACAAAGAAAAATTCATGACTAATAATTCAGGCAGAAGGGTGAGGATTGGCATTAGGAATAGAAATGAAGCAGAATTAACAGAAGAACTCACAACTGCCATTGAACATTTACTAGAAGTCTCTGGCACTGCTCTCAGTATAGAAGACTGTTCCCAGATGGCTCAGAAACAAGGATTCATGATTGATGAAGATCAAAGAGCATTGAAGGAGGCCAAAGAAAAAGCACAGACAAATAAGAAACTCCTAGAGCAATCCAGGGTATCTCAGATAAAAGAAAACTTGCTGCCTCTTCAGGGACAACTGTGGCACCATTGGTGTAAGAAAGACAAAGAACTCTATCATCTGCAAGAAAAAGGGCGTCGGAGCATTGAACAACACAAGAGTGACATTCAGAAAGAAAAACAAAAAATACGGTGTCAGCAGTTTAAAAAGGCCTTCCCTCTTAATGGTTTTATGCAATCTGTCCTACAAATTCTCAAAGAAGACTCAGAAAATAACCTCAAATTCTACTTCTTATACTGGTTAAGTGTGGTTTTGGAAAATCTAACTGTAGAACACTTGGAGATTTTACATGGAAAACAACAATATTTGTGGTCACAAGTACAGGCAGAAAAGCAGAAAGCACAGAAGAGCAGCTCCCTGACACTCTGGCAGAAGCAGATAGAAGCCATCTCTACCGAGATTCTTAACTGCAATTTAGGAATTGAGCACCTTCTCCGAGAAGTTGGACAGATCTATGAAGCTCTGGAAGAAATTTCCTCCTCTAGAGACAGCCTTTTTCTCTGCCTCCCCCAGATTGCTGCAGATTTGATGGTAGCTGGGGTTCCCATTGAGCTGATGGATGGGGATGCTTCATATGTGCCTGTAAAGTGGGTGACAGCTGTTTTTGACAAGATCTCAGAGAAAGTTGGAGATAAAAGGTTGTTTGTTCTCTCTGTCCTGGGCCTACAGAGCTCAGGGAAATCCACCCTACTGAATGCTCTGTTTGGGCTGCAGTTCACAGCCAGTGCAGGCAGATGCACCAAGGGGGCCTACATGCAGCTCCTGAAGGTGGAAGAGACATTCACGGAAGAACTTGGCTTTGATTTTGTGCTTGTTGTAGACACAGAAGGACTTCGGGCTCCAGAACTCAACAACAAATCCCGGAATTGGGACAATGAGTTGGCAACATTCGTCATTGGCCTTGCAAACTTGACTCTGATCAATATTTTTGGGGAGAATCCATCAGAGATGCAGGATATCCTACAAATTGTTGTCCAGGCCTTTCTGAGAATGAAACAAGTGAAAATCTCCCCAAGTTGCATCTTTGTCCATCAGAATGTGGGAGAAGTTACAGCTAAAGACCAAACTATGGAAGGACGAAGGAGACTGGAGCAGAGACTGGATGAGATGACAGCATTAGCTGCTGAACAGGAAGAGTGCTCAAACATAACCCGCTTCAGCGATGTAATTAGATTTGATGTCAATAGTCATGTCTACTACTTTGCTCACCTCTGGGATGGCAATCCCCCAATGGCCCCTCCCAATCCTCACTATAGCCACAACGTCCAGGAGTTGAAAACTGGGATTCTTAGGACCGCCCAGCAGGAATCCAAGGGAAGGATCATGAAGATTTCAGATGTAAAATTCCGAGTTCAGGATTTGTGGAAAGCCCTGGTCAGTGAGAATTTCATTTTCAGTTTCAGGAACACCCAAGAGGTCATAGCCATGAGTAAACTGGAAACCATGTATAACCACTGGACCTGGGAGCTGAGGAGCCATGTTCTGGACTTACAGAATCAGTTGAACAATCAGATTCAGAATGGGAAAATCCTGACACTCACAACTAATGCACTGGAGGGTCCAGTCAGTACAAAATATGAAACCATCAAGCAAAAATTTGACAAGTATTTTGAAGAAGACTCAGATAGTGAAACATTGGTTCAATGGAAAGCTAATTTTGAAAATAAGCTATTAATGCTTAAAGATGCCCTTATTTCAGACACCAGAAGGAAATGCAATGAACTCATCAGTCTTAAACAAAGCCAAGAAAGACTAGAGAACCAAAAGTCACAATATGAAAATGAACTGTTAGAGAGGAGCCGAAAGTTAGCTTTAGATGTGAAGGGTAAAGAATTAAGTGATGAAGAATTGCGTGAGAGATTCAATCAAGTTTGGACAAGTTGGATCTGCAATGTGTCTTCTACTGTACCCCTTGTCACAGAGCCTGACATTGATTCAGATGCTGAAAACATTTTCCTACTGTGTTTCAAAAAGGACAAAAATATCGCAGAAAGACTAAAGAAAAGGAGTGGGAAAATGTTTGACATCAATTATGACAAGCATGTCCAAATGAAAAAAAGATACTATGTAATTTCAAAAAAATTAGAAACTTGCCATAAAGAGTCAATTAATAAAACTACCAACAACATTTATTTAAGATTTGATGAAATAATTAAAAATATTTGGAAGCAAAAGCGTGATTACAGTCAGCATGATTTTCATAAAATCCCAATTATAATAGAAAATGAACTGAAATCTGTTTCCCCTGAGGAAGAATACACATTTACCAGAGACTACACCATTGACTTATCCTTGTACTTATTCCAAAGAGCAACTAAGAGTTTCAAAGAAATGCATAAGGCATTCAAAAGAGCAAATGATCCTGTGAACTATCTAGAGAGCAAGAAAGACGATTTCTACATGAGTTTTAAGATCTCCTGCCAAGGTGCCACATGCATCACAGCTTTTGTGGACTTCCTGTGGCTCAAGCTCACTCCTGCTGCCGCTGCCACTATATGGCGGAGAATGGTTCTTAAAGTAGCTGGGGACATGAGAGTCACTTGCCCTGCATTCAATGGAAACAGGGCTAACCTGGAGAGACATGTTCTCATTTCTCTGGCAGAAAAAGAAAACTTTGATAACTATTGGCAGTACATTCATCATCCAGAATCCTTTTTCAGGGATTACATTAGAGACCACATTAGAAGCTACTGTTCAGAAAAAGGAGGTGAAAAAATAAAGACTTTTTTAAAAATAAGTTTAGGGGACATAAAGAATGCCATCCTCTCTGCCATTCATAAGACCACAGAAGTAGCCAATGATAGCAGCACTGCTTCTCGCTGGTTGGATTTGTTCTGTGATCACCTAGGGAGCAACCTGATCTTTCCAAGAAGAGACCTGATAAGCATCGAGCACCAGGAGATAAAGGACACTGAGTTTCTCAAAGAAGCCATGAGTACAGCTTTAGATCCTGCACTGAGGAAAGTCGAAGAGGACTGCTCAAGTAAGTCCATAGATGAAATGGTTCCTGACATTGAGAAAATTCTCTCTGACCAGCTCTGTGGCTGCTGGAAGCAGTGTCCTTTTTGTAAAGCAATTTGTACCAACACCATTGCTGAGCATGATGGAGACCACAGTGTGCCATTCCACCGTCCTCACGCTGTCAGTGGATGGTGTTATGATAAAACAGATTACTTTGTCATTGAGTGCTGTACTACTTCTGTAGCAAGTAACAGTACATTTACTTTCAATGGCGTCCAGTGGTTCCCATTCAAGAAATATCGAGAAGCAGGAGGTGATTGTGCCACATGGAGCATCACCCCAGACTCATCTACCCAGCCATATTGGAAATGGTTTGTCTGTCACTTCAGATCAGAGCTAGAAAAGAATTATGGAAAAAAATTTACAGACTTAGGTACTATTCCAGATTCATGGACCAAAATCACAAAGGAAGAAGTACTTAATGACTTGAAAAAACAGTAATTGCCACACACAGAACACTAGCACTGCCACACAAATTTCACATTAGCCTAATGGAAATTTAGGTAGCATCTTCAAGGTTCTACCTTTAAAATGAAATAAGTAAAAACAAATTAATTAACATTTCAATATTTGAAGATTTCTTCTAAAAAAAAAAACCCTTTCTCCTTTGATTTCTTCTGCTTAAACATAATGTGCTAAACATGAGAATGTATGATAAAATCGGCATCCATTCATAAACCTCTTTCATACTTGATTATTTCTAATATGCGTTTAAATATTTAGTGACTTGGAAAAAAGTTGTCTCATTAGGAGATGCTAGTATTTCTGGCTGTGACAGATTCCTTTAGAACAACTGAGTGGGAAACTCAACCAGCAAATACATCTGAGGAAATGCTACCTTAAATTAGTTTAAATAGATGTTTTTACCCACTCTAATTATGGGAAAACTTTGCTGATTTTCACTGTATCAACCTCCATTAATTATTAAGGATGTCAAAGTAGAGCAATTTAAATAGCCTCTCTTCTGGAAAAAACAGTCACATTTGCTGATAACAAAGCCATGGATTCAGGAACGATTTTCACACAAATAAGGGGAAAATAAAAAATACCTAATTTTTCATATTATATTATTACTCTTTTTCTTTATATCTTTGTATTTTTCTTTTGATCATTGAAAAACAAATACAAATCACAAATATTAGTATTGAAACCTGGAGTACACAGCTACAACCTCTATAACCTATAACAGTGAGTGACATGCCTGCAAGTTGTACAGCTGCAATCGTACCACAAATGTTGTAGGATTAACCAAACACTTCATGATTGAGTTTAAGACCCTTTCCATGAGTGGATCCATACTTGACACTGCTAAGAAAAGGCCAAGAATCTGATATTAGATAGGAATTAGGCCTATTGGAACACCTATTACCATTATTGTGATAAAGTAACATGGCAATAAAATGATCAGTGCTTTTCTCAACCTGATTCAGAGAAGCTTCTTATAGTATGTGGGAATTAACACAGAGACCTACAAGTGGACAATGTGCAGACAGGGAGAGATCTAAGAGCACTCAGTCCTAAATGGCACATGTTCATCAAATCCTTCTCATTGAGACTCAGAGCTATGCTAAACAGGAGGCTGAGAGATTGTAAGATCTAGAGTTGAAACATAACTCCAAGAAAGAGTACCTGAGAAACGTCACAGGGCTGATGCCCATGTGAACTCACAGAGACTGTGGTAGTACACACAAGATCTGTTCAAGCCTGACAGGGGCCCTAACCTTGAGGGTGAAACTGGACACAGTATCACAAGCAAAACTAAGAATCTGTCTACCAAAGAAAACCAACCTACAAATCACAATCCCAGAGAATTTAGACAATGAGGACTCTAAGAGAGACTTACATAGATCTAATCTACATGGGAAGAAGAAAAAGACAAGATCTCTTGAGGAAATTGGGAGCATGAGGTCCATGGCAGATTGTTGAAGGGGAGGGTAGAGGCAGGAAAAGGAGCAGGAAAAAATGTAGAGCTCAATAAAAATCAATAAAAAAAATGGAGCTTTGTGCAACTGATACTTGCTGTCCAAGGAAAATCTCTTTTCTACAATAGAGTCCCACTGTGTGTATTATCTCCACTACAGGCAGGATCCATGACAATGGAGTCCCGCTGGGTTTATTATCTACACTGCAGGCAGGCTCCATCCCAATGGAGTCCCACTGGGTGTATTATCAACCTTGTAGGCAGGCTCCATATCCAGGAGCATTTGATGAACATCAAACTCATTGAAATTTATGTGGACTTTTTGTCTTGGTTTGTTTTATGTGAAAATATTTTTGTCTTATTGAGTTTTTACTTGTTTATATTGATTTTCACTTGTAGTATTTTTAGAGGTGTTTTTGTGTATTATTTTTGTTTTGTTTATTTTATTTGATAGTGTGTGTATTTTTTTAGGAAGAGAGATACAAAAGAAAATGACAAATTTTTATACATATATAGTTGATAAGGACCAGGAAGGAACTGAAGAAGAAAAAAAAAACATAAGCAAAATATAGTATTTTGAAATTTTTCAGTTAAATAAAAATAAAATGAGCATGAAAATTATGTATGGATATGAGAAAGAATTATAATGGAATTACACTTTGGTGATCACAAAATAAAGGGTTATGATGTTTATCAGTGATTGCCAATATGACAGACTCTAGAACCACCTAGAAGACAAGACTCCAGGGACACATCAGTGAAAGAGGTTTTTAGATTATATTAATCTACACCTATGAGATATGATAATGATTAGATTCATGGAGGTGGGAAGTCCTTCTCTAGCTTGGAGCACAGTTCCCTGGGCTGCAGTCCTAGATGCAGAAAGAGGAGAAAGTTACCTGGTCACAGAGCATTTACTGCTCTTTATTTGTTGACTAGAGATATAGAAAGACCATCTGGCTCAAGTTCTTGCCTCTGTAATTTCCTCCTCTCTGAAATCAAACCATAAACTGTAAATCTTTCTCTCTTTCTTCACCCCCTTCCTTCCTTCCTTCCTTCCTTCCTTCCTTCCTTCCTTCCTTCCTTCCTTCCTTCCTTCCTTCCTTCCTTTCTTTTAATTATGTTTTGAAGCTCTTTTCTAGACAACTGAGGTTGGGAAGATTGTAATTCTAGGTGTAGTTATCTGGTCTTAACCTTTGTTGGACTGTTTTTAATTATATTTGTGTGTGTGTATGTATGTGTATATGTGTACATGCTTGTTTGCTTGTTTTATTGTTTGTTTTTACACCCTGATCATATATTTCCCCCATTCTCTACTCTCAGTTCCCCCACATTCCCTCTCCCTACCCTACCCATTCCTCCTACATTTCTATGCAGAAAAGGGAAGGCTTCCCATAGATATGAACCAGCCATGGTATACGAAGTTGCAGTGAGACTAGGCACCTTCTCTTCTATTGTGGCTGGATGAAGCAACCTGATAGGAGAAAAGGATCCCCAAAGCAATTTGATTTCATGCTGTCCCAACTGTGTTAGATCATATAGTCACTTTCCCTGTTATGTTAAGAAAACATTGTTTTCTTATAATTATCCACATTGTCTGGTACTTTCACTCTTACTGCCTTTTCTCTTGCAAGGACCCCAGAGCCTCTGAAGGTGTAGGTAGGGTATAGATGTCCCAATTAAGGCTGGGAACTCCATAGTCTCTTATTCTCTGAGCTTTGACAAGTTGTAAGCCTTTTTATTAATTGTTGGTTAATGCAAAAGAAGCTCCTCTGATGAGATTTGAGACATGTACCAACTTATGAGTATAATGGTAACTCATTAGAAGTAAGTTTAGTGCTATATCCATTTGGCAGAACAGTGGGTGTAGGTTTGCCTCTAAGACTTATGACATTTAGCTACAGGTTCTAGAAATGATACCAGGTCTGAGGATCATGTTGAACAGGCCTTAAATCTGACAAGAAAGTGATAAATTACTCATATTACATTCTTGTCATTGAAGCACCAGAAGACATATGTCTTTGGGTTTCCATGGCTGTGAAGGAACACAATAACTATGGCAACTCTCATAAGAGAAAACATTAAACTAGGGCTGACTTACAGTTTAGAGGTTTTGTCCATTATTTTTATGGAAGGAGTATGGTGGCATGTAGGCAGGCATGGTGCTAGAGAGGATGCTGAGAGTTCTACATCTGGATCAGTAGGCAACAGGAAGAGACAGTGACATCAGTCCTGGCTTGAGCTTCTAAAGTCACAGGCCCACAGCTAGTAATACACTTCCTCCAACAAGACACCTATACCAATAAGATCCCATTTCCAATAATGCCATATGAGTCTCTGGAGGCCATTTTCATTCAAATCACTATATGCTGGTTCCAGGCAACTTGTAGTTATATCAAAATGAAAAACAAAACTATAGTCCAATTTCAAAAGTCCCATAGCCTATAACAATTTTTAAAAGTCCAAAGTCTCTTCTGAGACTCTTGGCAATCTTAATTGTAATCCCATATAAAAGCAAAAGCAAAAAGCAAGTCACATACTTTCAACACATAATGACACATACTATGCATTCCTATTCTAAAATAGAAGAAAGGAAGCATAATGAAAAAAATACTAGAACAAATCAAGACCAAAAACAAGCCGGGAAAACATTAAAAGCTTCTTTATGTCTGAAGTCAAATCGCCCTTTAGATCCCCAACTCCTTTCAGTTTTGTTGACTGCAACATTCTTCTCTCTCTTGGGGTGTTACCACCCCCTGCTATCAGCTCTCCTTTACAGGTGCACCATGGCTATGCTTCTCCAATGTTTTGGAGTTGCCAAGGCAATCAAGGCTTCACTTTCACAGCTTCACACAACAGCCTCTCTAGGCCTCCATGCAGGGATACCCTTGACACACACCTAACTGGTGTAGGCATTCCTTCTGTTTGTGTGTTGCTTTCATTGGTTAATGAATAAAGAAACTGCCTTGGTCTAGTTGATAGGGCAGAACTTAGGTAGGTGGGGAAAACAGAACTGAATTCTGGGAGGAAGAAAGGTGGGGTAAGAGAGGGCCACCATGGAGCCGCCAGAGTCAGACATGCTGAATCTTTCCTGGTAAGCCACTGCCATGTGTCAATATACAGATTTATAGACATAGGTTAAATCAAGATATTAGAGTTAGCCAATAATGGGCTAGAGATAATGGGTCAAGTAGTGATTTAATTAATAATACAATTTCGGTGTGGTTATTTCAGGGCTAAGCTAGCAGGGCGGCTGGGAAGGACAAGCGGGCACTCTTTTTCCTACAACACCTAACCTAAGTGGTTTTTCTCAGCTGTGAAGAGATATTACATAATTCCTTTCTTGTATCCTTAACTCAAAAGACAAAACCAGAAATTATGATGGTTATGGGCTAGAACACAGGATCCTCATTCAATTACTACTTCACCACCTTTCTGGTTTTGACGGTTTCCTTTACTACCTAAGCTTGGATGTTGTTTAACCACTGCAACATATCTTACTATGATGTCAGCCAGGTATTTAATGTAAATTACAAGGTTCTCAGATAGGATTGATGAGTATGCTTTGTGTGGACCAAATGAAGCATTTACTGAAAATGTAAAGAGCTGATGAAGTCCTGAGTGAATGTGTGCTGTTGACATGGCACTACTATATCAAGGACCCTAAAAATTCAGACTCTTCTGCTGCTGAGGCAAAGCTTTCCTCTGTTTGAGTGCAAATTTGGCAGCATATACAGAAACTATCAACCTGAGTGTCCTCTACCTGAGTGACTGAAGTCTGAGACTGTTTCAACACAAAGAAATCCTACAAAGTAGCTGAACCTGCATCCTCCTTCAGATGTATAAAATAAACATGAAGTGTTTCTGGGATGCTATTGATGCCTTCCATAAAAGTGTGCGTAGCCTCCCTGATCTTAGCTTTTCTGTACGTGTGTGTGTGTCTGTACTTTCCTCATTCTAAGATCACCCTAGCTACGTTAATACCTGAAGCTTTGCAGAGCACAGAATTCAGTAGCATGCTTAGGAACTTCTAGCACTGTGAAAGCTAGCCAGTATCGATGAAGTTTCAAAACAAGTGCCATCTTGATCTACCCATGTTCTAAGACTCAAGTATGTAGTGTCTTCAGCAATAAGATCTTATTTTCAAGTTCTATATTGGAAACAGGACAATTTGCCACAGCATATAATAGTTGACCTATAAGACCACAATAGCCAACACCTCCAAAACAGTAATGCAGCTTTCCAACTGCACTTTTATTTGTCAGCCTGTATTGTCTAGAAGAATGGATGCACATTTATATAATAACTCCTCTAAAATATGTGCGTTGATTTGGCTGCTAAAACGTTCATCTCCCTAAACCAAGAACCAGGGTCTGCCTCTCCAGGGTGCATATGTGCATGGTTTAACTACCCAGGGGCTGTCACATGAGCCAATCTAACAAGTTCCCTTTCATAATATGTATATACATACAATGTATGGATACCTGCCTAGTGCAAAAAAAAATTAACAATATGAAGCAGTAAGACTCCATTAATTTACATCTTTACCCTGTTCTTTCAAAAATTTGTAGTTTTATTCACGCAAATGTTATGTTTAAAGTATAAACTCATGTAAATAGTATTCTGTTTTTAATTTCATATCACACAATAGACTGATATTTAAAAAAAGAAACTTTACCTTTACTCTTATAACATGACGCAGTGTTCACATTTGTTCAAAGTCATTTTCACTGTTCATTCTTCAGGATTTTCTACATATATAATCATGTCATCTGAAAATGAAGGCCATAGTTACCGATAACTTCCCATATGTAGTTCTTTCCCCATCTTCTCTTACTTTAGTACCTAGGCTGCTTAATAGGAATGATGAGAAGTAATCTTGACTTTTTCCTGTTCTTAGGAAAAAAGCATCAAGTCTCTCAAAATAATAATATTGTATTACATGTAGGGTTTTTGCAGACATTCTTCACAAGTTTGAGAAATTTCTACTCTTTTCCTAGCTTGCTGGGACTTTTTACTCATGAATTCATGTTGGAATTGTCAGATGATTTATTGTAGATGTTGAAAAGAGCAGGTAACTTTTATTACTTTGTCTTCTGGTATAATGTATTACATTTGTTCATTCTTAAAAATTAAGGAATTTTGTCATATATGGACTAAATCCCAGTTGACCTTGTTATAAAATTTCTTACATACATGGCTAGATTTGATTTCCAGTATTTTAGTACCAACCCACTGTGGGAGGTATCACAATGTAGGCTTGATCCTGAACCATATAGGAGTGCAGAGCGTTAGCAAGCAAGCATTCAGCATGATAGTTGCATTTGTTATCCTCTCCCCTTGATATGATATGACTATCTCAAACAAGCTCCTGCCTCTGTGAATTCCATTCAATGGTAGAATTGTCAGATAAAATAAACTCATTCCCTTCTGCTATTTTTGTAAGTGTATTTTAGCAAAGAAACAGAAATAAAACTAAAGCAGCAAGTTGGTAGAAAATAGTCAAATGTGAGACGATAAGGAGAAGTATGAAGTGGTAGTGGAAAGAAATAAACTACATCCAATAATGAATGCAATGCCTAGATTGGTGGGCAATAATCACAAACTTAGGCTTTGTTTAAAATTTTTATAAAGCAAATATCATATCTAACTTTCTTTTTTAATTTCTTTAATGATTTTTACTGAGCTCTACATTTTTCTCTCCTCCCCTCCCTGCCTCTTCCCTATCATTGAACCCTCTCCCAAAGTCCTGATGTTCCAAATTTACTCAGGAGATCTTGTCTTTTTCTACTTCCCATGTAGATTAGAGCTATGTAAGGCTCTCTTAAGGGTCTCATTGTTGTCTGTGTTCTCTGGAATTGTGATTTGTAGGATGATTTTCTTTGCTTTGACAGTCATCCCTTATTGGTGATTGTGGAGATTCACTCAGAGATCAACATCAGCTGACCTGTGTGTGGGTGATAGAACTTGCTTTATAGTATTTTTCCTCCTATCTTTATAAAACACTTTTGTTTGCTTAACTATCCTTTCCCTCTGTCTGTCTGTCTGTCTGTCTGTCTGTCTGTCTGTCTGTCTCTGTCTCTGTCTCTGTCTCT